TTACATTTGGAACACATATCTGATATACAAAGTAATTCTGAAACACTTCACAAGAAAACTATCTTGGTGAAGACCAACTGAACTCAGGTTTGTGGTTCTGAGATCTCTTAAGATTGCTCTCTAACACAAGATTACTTGCATTTCCTCCTTCAGTGCCAAACATGAAGCGACAAAATACCTGCAGATTTTTGTTGATCTCTGGAATGTTATGGGATAACAAAGGGGGTATAAAGTGTTACTTTTCTCCTGAAGAGTAACTTAGCTTCTTCTGGAGGCACATTCTATTATTGAGCAGTCACTTTGGTTTCTATGAAAATGAACGACCATACAATACATAAAAGTGTGCTACTGTATTCCTAAATAGATAGTGACTCCAACACAAAGACCAGGCACAGACTCCAAAGGCATTGCCAGGCTGTCTCTCACCAAGGTTTGGAGAGGCAGGGAACAGGGAACAGGAACACCACCTTCAACAGGACACATTCCTTTATGCCTACTTACAAGCATTCAGGACCACAGCTCTCTGCCTGCTTTTGTCACCAGGCAATGCCTCCTCCCTGCTTACTCCTCTATACTCCAGAGAGGAAAACAGAGACATTTCAGATGTGATTGTCCCAGTTGTCTCAACATTTCATAAAGGCAAGAAAGTCCTCTAATATAAAAGTTGCTTATAAAGGGGCAGCTGCTCAGTATTTCTGTTGGATGAACACATTTGTCATATTTTATATTCAGGTAGCCTTTTTTCTTTTTCACAATACATGCAATGTTAGGAATAATGAGTTTACCATGGCTCCAAGTCCTGCAAACACAAAGTGCTGGGGTTTTTTTGAGCATTCTAAAATGTAGAACTACTTCACTAATGTCATAAAATTTAAATCCAAGAACTAGGTATCAATGTTTCATCTGTAATCTTTTTTCTTCAAAGAAACAAAAGTTTACTTTATCAAAATGCACAATCACAAGCAGAAATCCAGGAGCCTGACAGGCAGAAGACACTTACTTTTCATGGTGCTCTGTCCCTCACCACCTCAGCATCAGAACAACTCAATAGAGCTGTCACAAGAGGACCTAAGGCAAGATTTATATTATGCAAGAGTCTGGATATCAGGACACTATTATTCTTAAGTTCTCCTAATGAGAATTTCGTTTTCAAACACAATATTCCTGATTCGAAAATTATAACTGTGAAGAAATCTGATGATTTTTGGAGTGCATTTTAACACATATTTCTAAATGTTTTTAAGTTACATTTAAGGTGGCAACCACCTTTGATTACATATCCAGTTCTATTGACACCTAAGATGAAACAATTGTTCAGTAAATTTTGTCATTTAGTTCACTGGAATTGGAATTTCACTTCAAGCTTTGGCTTAATAAAATGAAGGATAACATCCTAAAATTGGATCTAGCACTTTTAAAGAGGACAACAATCCGGAGAATTAAGATTAAAAGAAAAGTAGGCAGCAGGTCAAGGGAGATGATTCTCCCCCTCTACTCCGCTCCCATGAGACTCCACCTCAAGTGCTGCTCTGGGGTCCCCAACATAAGAAGGATGTGGACCTGTTGGAGTGAGTCTAGAGGAGTGCCACCAAGATGATCAGAGGAGTGGAACACCTCTCCTACGAAGAGAGGCTGAGAGAGATGGGGTTCCATTACCTAAAGGGGCTACAAGAAAGCTGTAGAGGGACTTTTCACAAGGCCACGTAGTCATGGACAAGGGGGAATAGCTTTAAGCTCCAAAAGCGCAGGTTTAGATTAGACACTAGGATGAAAGCCTTTACTGTGAGGGTGGTCAGGCACTGGAACAGGTTGCCCAGGGAAGCTGTAGATGCCCCATCTCCAGTAGCCATCTCAAGGCCAGGTTGGATGGAGCTCTGAAGAAACCTGTTCTAGTGGAAGGTGGCCATGGCTGGGGGTCAGAACTGGGTGATCTTTAAGGTCCCTTCCAACCAAAACCATTCTATGGTTCTATGATTTTACAGTATGGTTTATTTATTCCACGTTGACAAGGAGACAGCCAGAGCAGTCTTTCCATATTCCTCCTATAACGCAAAAGGACTTTTTTTTTTATTAAAGCAGTAGAAAACAGCAATCCTAAACAATGGCATATTACTTCATAGTGTTAAACACCAGTTCATGTACTATGCATTCTGTTTTCTCCATTGTACTCCAGGCTGTTATGAAAACATAAACAAACTTAAAATATTTGTTGCTGTGCTATGTATAGCTGTACTCAGTCTTTTTCTTTTTTTCATTATTTCTATCTGGAAGCTTTTCTTGCAGCAGTATTGTTTCTCATTTGGAAAAAAAAAATGCAAGAGAAGATGAAGTATTTAAAAGCCTCACATCTTACAGAGTACACCCAGTTACAAATATGCTACAATCAGCACACTACATGTTTTATGCAGAAAGAACCAGATGATGATGGAATTCAATTCGTGCTAAGAAAGCAGGAATAGGGCTTATAAGAATGCTTACATCTGTCCCTAATTTGCTTGCACATAAAACCCACGGTAATCTGCTTTATTACCAAAGTCATATAAAAGAATTGGGCACCAAGCAGCACAGGTAATCTTGAACTGGAGGCCCTCCAGCCTAATTAGACACAAACGCCCAGAAGGCCCGAGACTGAAATATGGCATGTAGATTTTGAAATGTATGAAGAGACAGAACAGTCTCATTAGCAGCCATCCGAGTGGATGCTTAAGCCTCTGAAGTTCCTTGTTTTGACTGAGGGAAGGAGTAAGCCATGTCTATGCCTGAGGCTAAGTACAAGGAAAAGCATCCTGTTACTTCTGGAATGGCCCTGATTTCCCAACCCCCACCCCAGCACACTCCTCCTGGGCTTTGTGCAATTCCTGGCTACTCCCTTTGTAAAGACATGCCCACAGTTAGCAAGCTGATTTAATGTCGATAATGCTAGAAAGCCAAAACATTATAACTCATTGAAAAATAAGACAAAGAAGCAATTTAGTGCAGAGTTTATAGAGGTATTGCTTCATTATTCACTATTTAGTAGATACATTTCTTAAGAAAGTTAGTTATGGAGTTTTGCCAGGAGCCATTAAAAAGTGATAATTTCCCTTATTTCAAACTGCTGAAAGTTTTTTATTTTTATGGCATCAAACAACTATTGTTGGCTACTTTCTGATTACAGGCTTGTCTCTCTCTGATTACAAGCATGCATCTACTTTATATAACAATGAAAAATTATTAGTGAATTAAAGAAATAGACAGAGGAGAAGTCCATGACAATTTTAAGGCAGAACAGCTGTGGCAGAAAAGGCTATGCCTGACACAGAACTGACCTCCATATTGCAGACTTCAGGCACACTCGGGGACTGTCTATTTTTGGAAACATAACAGCTACACTTAACTAACCAGAGGGTGTGATAGAAATGTTTTTATCAAGTTATCTCCCTCTAAGTCATTTGGAGGAACAATGCAAGGCAACATATTATTTCCTTTTTCAATTGAGTTTTTACATTATCAGGAAATATCACAGTGGCCACAGAATTATAAACAACTTTTTGTTTTTGTAACATTAGGGGAGCTTTGTATTTCTTTTCATTTTCTGCAAACACAACACAAAGGAGACACAGGGACAGAGAAGAGTCCAGAGATCTTGTGTGCAATTAAAAATTATGGATAGAGCCTTCTGTTAATTGACATTCAAGGTCACTTTGCATTGTTATCTATGATGTTGTTGTATTAGTGCCTGAAATCACCAATCAGCCCCATTTTCTTGATAAATTTTATGGGAAGACTATTAGGCATTTAACCTTAGCAACAAGCACCACTGAAGGATTACTATTACAAAACAAATTGGCAAATTTTAAGTGAGGATAATTTTTTAAGAACTTTTCTTCGAGATTTTTTGAATGCTTTCTGGATTTGTAAAGGTTCAAGGCTTTCCTTTTTTTGTTAAGAATATGTACCAGGATATTCATTGTTCTTTTTTGCCCTTTCCTATGCTTTAGCTTTGGGATTCAAGGCAAGAAGAAAATAAAACAATAGGAAAGGAGGTATTTGGCCACAACATGACAAGACTCACAGTACTGCCCATCTCTGTCTGACCTCACCCAGTAACGAATATTGGGGGATGCCCCTCTGGTAGGGGACCCGCAACCCGCCAAGGGAACAGAGCTTTGGACCGCGGGCACGTCTGTCTACAGGGACACACACAGACAGACATGAGCTCACCGCCCACACAGGAGCCAGTTCTGGTCCAGGAGCCACAAAGCCTCATTAGAGCAAACCTGTGCCCAACCTGATGCGTCCGTGCCCGGCAGAAGAAGCAGGGATTAAGCGGCAGGCAACCACCCCTACAGCCCTGGACAGCAGCAGAAAGCCTGACGGGCACTACAGCAGAGCACACGGACCAGGCACCGCCACTCCCGTGTCGGCGATGAGGGGGGAAGGAATTAGCGAGGTTGGTGACCTGCCAACCTCCTCTCAGGACAAACGTAAACAAGGACAAATTAAGAGGGAAGTGGGCAAGCCTTGGCTGGCTGAAGCAGATGAGAGACGAGATGCCACCTCGGTGGGCCAAGGCCCGTGCACGATTAAACCAGCTCCGAAGGCACATGCGGGGGGAGGCGGGGGGGGGTGTCTGGGGCGTGGCTGGAAGCAGTGGAGATGGGAAAAGTGCCTGGGGCGTGGCTGGGAAGCAGTGGGGATGGGAAAAGTGTCTGGGGCGTGGCTGGGAAGCAGTGGGGATGGGAAAAGCCACCCAGGCACGAGGAGGCCGTCGGCGAAGCCTAGCGGGGGGATGGCAGAGGCCGAGAGAGATACCCTAGGCGGGCAAAGCGGGGTGGTGGAGGAAGCCCGTTAGCCCCAGGGGAACGCAGCTCATCTCTGGGCTGAGCCGCACCCTCCCCGCCACCCCCTCGAACCCACGGGAGGTGATCAGGGAGGAGCCCCTGTGCCTGACCCCGAGGGTTCTGCCCCCCAGCTCCCCCTCCATCGCCCCGACCCCGCCACCGGCAGGACGCCCTTACCTTCCCGCCGCGGGCGGGGACCGCTCTCGCCCGGACCCCCGGCTGGTGCCGCCGGGGGCCGCAGGGCCGGGCCGGGCCGGGGCTGCCCCTCGGGGGAAAGGGGCGGTAGGGCCGGCCCGGCCCCCGAGGCGCTCCCGGGGCCGCCGGCGGCGCGGAGCCGAGCGGGGAAACCCCCGGCTCTCCCGGTTCTCCCGGCTCTCCCGGCCGCCGCGGCACCTGTTGCCAGGGAAACCCAGGTGTCTCCTCATCCGCGGCCATCCCCGGCGGAGCGAGGAGGCGGGCGAGGGGTGCGGGATCCCGTGCACCCCTCGCCCGCCTCCTCCCCGCTCCGCCGGGGATGGCCGCGGCGGGGGCGGTGGAAAATTAAAGAGCGGCTTTTTCTGCGAAGGACCGGCGTCGTGGGGGGGGGTAAAGAAGGGTGTCTTTGGGCAGGTTTCCCGCTCCCCCAGTTTTGGGCACGGCAAAACCCCGTTCGTCTTACGGAGCTGGGGCCTGTTTCAAAAACAAACAAACAAACAAACAAAAAAGAGTAATTGTGATTTGGGCAGGAACTGAGCCCAGAGAGACTGCTGTGTCCTGGCCTTGTTGTGCAGGGCTCCGGGAAGCAGGTGGAGAAATCATGGGCGTATTTTCTGTGGTTATAAGGGCTTTCTGAAGGAGGAGAGGGATGTCATTGTGTTGGCTAGTTCGGCCGCAGTTCTATCCGTAGCGTGAGGGAAGATCACAGGAGAAATTACACCACCCAAAAATTGCCTCCTTTCCCTTTTGTTGCACAGCTATTTTCCTTGGAGTTAACAACTGATCAGTTCCAGGAATTTGACAGAAGCTCTGTATTAAAGTAACTGCAGCTAGCCAGGCTTGCCAGCACCCACTCACCTCGGGGCTAATCTCTTGTGCCAGTCCTGCATCTCTTTGACTGAGGTCTTCTTTGCAGCTTTTTTTGCAGCAGAAAGGATGCGTCTCTCTGTTTGGATCCTTGTGGTACAGCTTTATTTCCAAAATCCTTTAGTACTCAGCCTGTAAATTAAAACAGTGTCTTACAGTAAAAGTAGAAATTAATTTGAGAATTTCTGATCATATATTCATTACCATTAATTTTCTTTTAATTTAAGTTAATTTGAAATTAACTTTTTTTTTTATCCAAGGAAAAGTTGGAAGACGTTTTGTATATTTCCTGCTTCGAAAAGCAAAACTGAGGCATGATTGCTTATTTTGAAGGTGCTAGTAAGCAAGAAATGTGTGTTATTTTATTCAATTTAATGTATCGAGTCTTGACAGTAATGAATTACAAACCGCGATTTGCACCACTTACAACTAAAGCAGTTGGGAAATATCAGAGCAGATATTCTTCTCCCTCAGAAAGGCTTTATCTGCTAAACTGAAAGTCTCCACGGAAACATACCAATTTTCAAGAGAATGTTCATCAGGAAAACCACTAAGACCTGGCTCCAACTTTTTTTCGAGACAGACAAACCAGCATAGTCCCTGCATAGTCCACAGTCCTGGCTCTGGTGGCCCAGAATTAGGCATCACAGTCCCATGTCCTTCTACCAACAGTACTGGGGAGCACCCAGCAGAGTCCTGGCAATAATGGTTACTGCACCATAAATCTTTTAATCCAATAAAAAATCATCAGACACTGGGCAGCACTCCCTTATCCCAGCAAAATTAACATCAGGTTTCAGCATATGTGCCCTCTCTTCGACATTCCTGGACTGGAGTCTCTTCTGAAACTCCAATCCTATCCCAACAAAAAAATCCCTGCTTGTAAGAGGGACTGCTGTCATTGTCTTGGAAGGGAAGAAATGCAGTAAAATTAGAAGAGATAAGGATATTTTATCTCCAGATATATCCTTCTGCAGCAGTTGCTATGGTTTTGCACATTCTGAGGTTGTTTTGCTGCATCAGCATTAAAAATTGTCATAAAACATCAAAGGCATCAGCTGAAGAAGAGGCAATTCAATGCATGTGCTGTCTGCTCGTTCTAGAGTTTCTGTGTCAAGATATGCCACAGGTAGAAGTTTTCAGAGCCGATCAGATTTTTAGATCCCCTGCACACTGACCTGCAAGGCAAATTCCCATATCTTTCCCTTGTTTCAGCAGGACTAAAAGCTCTCTTGAGAATGAGACTCATGCTGTGTGTCACATGTGCACTGATAAATTAGCAGTAATTCCTTTTCCCTCACTTTTTTGCATAATTGTTTCATCTTTCTCACATACAGCATGAGAGATGAATCTTCAGTTTAATAAGTACCCCTGAGAAAGTGCAGTGTCTTTCACTGAGCTTGGGGGCAGTTACAACCCATCCTTTTCAAGCATTCAAGTTACTCTGAGCTAAGGAAGAGGAGCTTCATATACTGTTGTGGCAATTATCTTTCTGAATATAAGATTGCCTCACTTCTCTCACTTGTACCTTCATGGGCTTTAAAAAAAATGCACAGGGGGAAAAAAAAAACCTCAAATTTTTTTCTCAGTTCAAAGAAATTGGAATGCGTGCTGTTCATTTGCATAAATACCTGACATAGCTTTATTCTGAAGAATGCAAAGAACAAGAGGAACTTTGAGGATTTTTTCCTAACACTTTTTGACCATGACTATTGTAAAGCTCATGAAACTTGTGTACATGAAATGCCAGAGAAATGGTGCATTTTTAAGGTCCCTGTTTGTAACCTTGCATGAACTTATGGTAAAAATCAAGAGTCAACTGAAGATTAAAAGGTGTATGAAAAGAATTCATGGTAGGTATTTATTATGCTATTTTTTTGTGGCTGGTGTTCAGATGAGAGGTGACCTTATAAAATCTACCAGTGACAAAGATTTTTACCTGCCCCTTTGGCTCACATACAGCAACAGCACCAAGTCTGAAGTATTTTTAATCAAGGTACCTGCAGAACATCACAAGGTTTAGATATTTTAGTCATTTGTCTCCTGAACTCTTTCATCTCTCTCCTACAAGAAGAGTTCAGCTTACTGAGTCACAGCAAAGAAACCATGCAGAATTTTATCAGAAGGGTTATATGCAAAAACTATGTGCTACCAATGGCACTGGTCCAGTAACTAACATATGCTATGGAGACGGTAACACCACATGGGAGTGATGGGCTGGGCTGCGGGGTGAAAGGAAGTGCTAAGCAGAGTACACGGTAGACGGAGGGAGCTATTCCAGGTCTATCTTCCTAGTGCTATTTTTGAGTTTTTATATTAAATTTGATCTCGATACAGCCCTTCTTCCCATAGCTTTGGAAGTCAGTGCAGCACAAGCACATGGAAAATACTTTCCAGTTACAGCATGAACAAGCTGAGCAGGAGACACTCACTGCAAGATTATCATCCAAATCGCCATCTGCCCAAGGGAAAGGACAGCATGTAGTTGCACTATTCCTGGAGCAAAGAAAGGACCAGGTAGTTACCAAGTCCTCCTTGCTCTCTGCAGAAAGTTGTTACAGCCCATCTCAGGAGGTTTGCTCCTGCACTAGCTTGTTCATGCTGCCAGTGGCTTTAGCAAAGACAGGCAACTTTCTGCTTGTATCCCTGCCTCAAAGTTTCGTTGTTGCAACTCCACCAATTTGGGGGGGGGGGGGAGGTGAGAAATCACAACAAAAAACGTGGTCAAAAATGTGGCACCCTGAAACAGGAGAAAGAGAAGGTAGGATGAGAATATATTTCCCCTTGTACACGTTATGACGCTGTCTTAACCTGCATCTTCTGAAAACAATTACAGGCCAACCCTATTTCATACTGTTTACGACAACACAGTTCCTTCAAGTAACAGGGAAGTTAGGATGAATGTCAGACCTGAATTATGGAAAAAGTAGTCAGAATATCTATTCTTTACATAAACAAGGGCTTTTGTAAAAGCTATTTAGCCACTTAATGGTGGAACTGGATCATCAGAGAAGACTAAACTCCTTCAACGTCTTTTCTCAATTGAATGGTCTACAAAGAGCAGTTCACAGATCCTGCCCCTAAGACTGCAAAAGGGAAAGGCTGTTCAGTTACTCAATGCAATCTCTACCATAAAGCTCTGACTTAGATCACAGGTGTAAAATAACAACACCTCATTTGAAATGATACATAGAACTGCTAAGTAAACAGATAAAAAGCTAAAACGGCAACTAAAACTGCTGCCAATTGTTCGCTGTTGTCACTATAGGTAAGGGTGTAGTTAAGATTGAAAAAAGGTCATGAAAAAGGTCATTTCATTCCTTACTTTGCCTCCTTCTGGCTCTGAGCTGCTTTCATTCCAGAAGTGGTCAGAGCCTAGAAGCTATTCAATTTCTTATCATGGTAAGAAGCTGGCCTAGAAGGCATGGACAGCTAATTTATTCCAGTGAAGCCCCTTCCTCTCCAACATGTTTGTTACGCTACCTAACTTTCATAGGGGGATAGAGAATTGCTCCTGCAGACCCATGTCAGCAGGATTCCACTTTGCCATGGTGCAGAAAGTCAGAGGCAGCCAGCTTCACCAGTAATACTCTCATTCCCTGCTGTCAGAGAAGCATGAAGAGCTTGTGGGGAAGCTGAGGGCTGGAGCTGACATTTACAAACTAAGAGCAAGGGTAGTTGCAATGTCTACAAGCATAAAACTTTCATTCACAGTTTCCAGATGTTCTGCTTCACAGAAGTCAAAAGCTCCCACTAGTCCCTCAGGAGCTTACCTGGGATCAGAAAATTATTTTGTCTAGCACAGAAGACAGCTGGACGTTACCATGACCAGGTTTGGCAAGTTCCCAGAGGTTGATAGTCCATTTGACAATATTAGCATTATGTTGGTTTGCTTCTGTGCTATATGGTTGCATAATTTAAGACAGATGAAACTTACCAAAGAGCATTCTACTTACTTTATTCCTAGCTGAACAATTACAGTCAGTCAGTCATTTTATATCTGTATATAGCACTTAATCCATATTGCAATAATTCATGTACCATGTTATATTGCTGCACTGAGCCTCTGCCAGTTTCAGATCAGTCACCTCTGTCAAGTCCCATAGGATAAAAGAGTCTGTAAGACCTATTCAAAATAATTTTCTACCCTGGATGACCACACATGATGTAACTTCCATCACCGTCCAGGTGCCAGGGGAAGAGCAACTGATGTGGAGAAAGGCTGTTGGAAATGGTATTCCTGCCTATGTCATACCAGCTGCTGAACTTATGCTCTATTGTTATCTGAATCTGCACTTGCAGTGACTGCCTGGACAGCCTCTTATTTTAATTGCTATTACTTTAATGACATTAATCTG